GCTATGTAGTTAAGCAGTTTCTTTATTGCTCTACTTTAGTTGTATTTATTGTTGTTGTGCTGCAGCCCACAGACAACATCAAGGGGAATTACAATTCATATAAGGATTTTACACAGGACTAGAATTAACCCCTTACAATTTTATACCTCTGCAAACCAGTCAAGTTGCAGATAACATCTATATCTGCCTAGACTAATACCTAGCCATGACAGTAGGCAATGCTTCAAATATGGATATTGCTGCAAAGAAGCTACAAATTCGAAAACATAGATGTTTCACACAAATGTTCAACCTGCCAGCACAGAAGATCTTTACAATCAGCACAGTTTCACAATGGACACCAAAATTAGTGTCACCAATTCAGTACCCAACCAAATGTCTCCCCTTCTGTTCCTGAGATATGACACTGAATAATGGCTGGAAAACTGTGTTTGCAGAACATTATAATGTTGACCTTTGTTGAAGGTGACCTTTGTACCTCGTGGATATCAAATGTCATCACTTCATCATTTTATCCAATCAGACATTTGCTTAAAACTTTTGTCATAATCATTGTATTAATTCTTGAGTGATGGTCAAAAACCTAATTTGTGATGTCAAAGTGACCTTTGACCATCAAAATCCTGTTAGCTAAGTCTGAGTGGATGTTTGTGCCAAATTTTGAAGAAATTCTGTCAAGGCTTTCTTGAGATGGCATGTTCACAAGAATGGGATGGATGGACAGACATATGTACTGTAGGTACGTAGCCTTTGGATTCATGGAAAAACAATTTGAGTCAATGTACTGAAAACTCAGAAGTTTGCTGCAGAGAGTTTGATATAACACGTCTTTTCATGCTGCCATCTTGCTAGACTCCCTTTGGAAACTTTATATGTGCAACCCAAGAATGAAAAGCCTGACAGGTGTAGTAGCAACAGTAAGTCAGGGAGCAAGGTTTAGTGGACGTTTAATTGTTACTGATTTGAAGACTAAACACCATGCAGCCAGTATGTAGCTTAGCAGTTTATAAGGTATGTAAACTGTTACTGTGGTTTCATATACACAGAGAGGAAACATTAAACCCCAGGAGCACTGCACGTTAAAGAAGAGAAATACATGTGCAGAGACAGTGACCTATAAGGTACGGATGGATGAAGCAATGTTTTCATCAGGTCATGTGGAAGTTAATAAGCGTTATTTAGAATTTTTTTGTTGTTCTTTTTTTAGAATTTTGTTTTTTACTTTCCTTTGACTTGTGTGTTGCTGGTGATTAAAGAGACTTCATAGTCAATTAAAAGAACATCAATCCAGATTAAATAGAGGGAAATTGTTCAGTCTCTCTCAATCTCAAAAATGATTTCAATCTGGGGTCCATTTGCTCTTTTACCCAGAAATATTCCCCTTTGTGTTGCTGTAGCTTTCAAAAGAGCTCAAGACTCTGATCCTCTCAGTGACATAACATCCCGTATGGCAGACTAATTTTGTGTTAACCCCCAACATGTGTGGACGAATTTTTCCCACAGACAAAACTTCAATGGGTCTTGGGTCACACTGGTGCTCCTTCTGGTAAGTGATCATGCAGGTATGCACTGTATGCTTTGAAGCGTAAAAAGATCCGAGTCATGCAACAAACGATAAGTCAGCCGCGTGAGGTTTGTGACAAGAAAACTGCACATGCAGTGATTAGATATTTCTGACAGCCTGCAGCATGTGGTCTCAGTTTGCCCCTCTTTCTCTGAAACCTCAAAGATCCGTGTCTTGTAAATGATGTGAGGAAAGAACCGATCTTTGACGGTTCTTTAACGGTCAGAAACAGCCTTCAGATGCTCGAGGGCTGAAGTCTATTTGATGTGCACCACCCTCACATCGCTCATCACAAGGAGAACCACCAAACTGATGTAACAAAGGAAGAATAACATTTGTAGCACAAAAAAATAAATGTCTGTGGTTTTGGGGGTCATTATTGTTTCTTTCTTTCTACCTGAAACCAGATTGATGGTTTTGTAAGAGGTTTCGGCTTACCCTCACGGGACATGTACACATGCATAATGGTTTTCAAGTCCTTTTGATGTACACTAGGCAATGTGATCCCTCATCGTGTGTTGGAAACGGTGAGATTACGCTGAAAAGAAAAGCAGATCTACTGATCCTTTAAACTTCCCACAGCTCTTTGCCCAGGACATCGGGTGTGGCAGAGATATATGAGGCCCATAAAGTCATCAGCTCATAAATTTGTTCTTATATACTACGGATCATATGCACTGATGTATGTGCTTTTATTACAGCAGTGTTTCTTTGCTGTGACAGGAATGCAATTTACTACAGTGCAACTACAGTTTAACAGACTATTTATTTTGACTATACTGTTAATTTTATTGTGCTTGTGTATTTAGCATTCTCATTTTTTTTTTTTGCAAAATTTAAGTTATTTAAATTTGGGATCTCTTCTCAAATGAGTAGACTTTAAATACAATCAGTTGACAATATCTGTGTAATAAAGTCTGCGACTGGTAAGGTGGACCTCTCTGGTGGCGGCGTGCATGCACATACCTGAGCAAGCTTCAGATGGGAGTGATCGTTCACACTGAGTCACAGTTGTAAGACTCTGCGTTCTGAACAGACTTTGCTTTAGGTTAACTGGCATGTGTCCTTGCCTTTTCCTGAGTGCGTGCATGTCAAATATATATAAATAAATGTGGCCCATCCACATTTTCTGGTTTTAAAATCCAGCCCAGTTGAATTTGTAATTGAATAACCCTGTCTTAGTGCGTAATTATGATGTAATCATCTTATATATGACAAATATTTAATACACTTATGGTTTGTTTTCGATCTTTCTTTGCAGTATTCTGTCATACCTCTGATTTCTGCTGCAACAAAATGCAGTTTCTAATAAAGTGTCATAATTTGGTTTTAGAAGGAACATAAATGTGAGTGTTGCCCAGTGGGGCTTTGATAAGACAAATGAAATTAATCTTGGAAATGAGTGTGATTATTACAGGGTCATCCAGTTCCCATGGAAAATTGGAAACAGTCTGAAAACTGGAGCAAAATCTTTGCAGCTTTATTACTCCAAAGTATTTTTCAAATTAAATTTCTGTTAATGTCTCTGAATTACAGTTTATCAAAGCAGGATGAGAACAAAAACTTTTAAATATGGTTTAGTGGGAGAAGATGATAGGATGGGAAAAATATAAAACAGTGTCACTGGAATTGGAGCAGGAGTTTATTACCAGACTAATTAGTGGGAATATTACTGTAACATGAGTTGTTTCAACATGATTTTCCGCATGAAGTCTATAAAACACTTAATTTCACTGTTGAATCTTTTAGCAGACCACTTCACTGTCAGACCACACTGGATCAACTGACTCTGCGCTGGTCTGCCTGTGTGCATGTGTGGTCAAGCTCGAAGCAGAACATTAATGAAATCTCTCAACCAAAAGAGAGGCTTGGGATTCCTCACAGGATGTTATTATTTTGGGGGATTGGATAGTAAAAAATTCTTTCCAGCTTTGCAATGTTTTGTTGTTATTAAGCAGTCAACAGCATACTGTATATTAGAATCAAAGCGTAGTGACAGCAAAATGAACTTTTAATTTATTTGACTGTAATTTAAATATTTGTATATATGTTCTATATTTGCATAGTGTGAAGGAGCCACAACTGAACATGTCAGTGTGCAACCCTGTGTTGTATAATGACAAATACATTAATGTTGTATTAGAACAAAACTGGCGTAATACTTGGTGAATTACATCATAATAAAGGGGACCTATTATTCGTTCCTACGTCATTACATTTTTGTTCGATGATGGAGGTGCAGACGTTTCCAGTTGTCTCTCTGTCAGCTCTGCTAACTTTCTGCTAAGTTTATACTCTTATGTCTACTGTGCAAGTATTGGTGGTGCTTTTGGCTTTAGATGCTGGTGGGTTGTGGCTGTGAGTCACTCATCAGGATGAGGTAATCAACTCACCAGTCTGTAAACTCTCCTCCTGCCAAATTTTGCTAGCTATAGCTGCTAGCCAGGTTGAGGTTTTAAAATGTAAACATCAAGGAAAAAATGGAGAAGAATGGGCACAGCTGAACTAGCATCCTGCTAGCCATTATACAGGTGCTAAAAATAAACTGGACAACCTCTGTGCTGCATCAGTTTCCTACGGGATATCAGGAATTGTAATATCCTTTGATCCATTGAAACTTCGCAAAATCCTGGACAGCACTATTTGATCAGGTGTCTCTTAATCTATATGCTGATCTGACAGAGCAGAGGACTCTGGGAGAAAAGGAGAGAAGCCCAGTGCTTAACAGTGAATCAGAACAGGTGTGATGGTGAGAAAGTGAGGTGATGTCCTGTTCCTGCTGTGGATCACTGCTATACACCATTCATGCAGCTGCGGTGCGATGCCGCCCGTGTACGGGAGGAGCGACCATGCAGCCATCTTGTTGGAGGTGGGATGTGTGGACAGTTAAATCATCCCACAACCAGAAACCATGGATTACCAGAACCATCTGGAAACTTGGACAATAGCAGCAGCCAACAATGTAAGAAGACGCAAGACAAGACTAAACTACAGCGCACAAATTAAAGGAGCTGATGGGATCACATTTCACTGGAGTTGTACCTTGTATAATTCCTTGTGAAAAATAAACAATTGATTGATTGATTTCCAGATTCATACTTGCATGAATCTACCTGCTCTGATTTGTCAGCATTTCGAAGTCTTCCGTATCTCGATGTCTTTGCAGCAGAGAACTGACTGTAACGAATTATAGTGGCACTTTCTACTGTGAAAAATCACCAATAAAAGCTTCTAAACACAACCAGACATGTTTGAGCAGTAAAATGATGTGAAATCAAACAGAAACTAATGGCATCAACATCAAGATTACATGTTTTGCTGACGTTAGCATTTAGTGTCATTTAGCAGTATAGGCTACCGGTGTATGTAGGGTGATTTACAATAGCGTGCCTGTTAATTGTGCCTTTGTACTGTTAATCAATATATCAGCACTTACCGGTTTTCTCTCCACGGTCTCCTCGGTCACCCTTCTCTCCCTTGAACCCTCTTTCTCCTCTGTCACCTGAGGACAAACCAGAAAAACACACTGAAAATCATACAGACTTTATAGGAGCAGAAATAAAATGTGAACTGGTGAAACATCACTCTCACTCAATCTTTCTCGTATGCCTCTGCGTTGAACAGCTGGCAGCTAAATGGTCTAGCAGATAGTGACAGTGCCTTTAGGGCAACGGATTGTGGGTTTGAATTCCAATAATAATATGAGAATTACGGGGCGGATGTGTCTCAGGAGGTAGAGTGGGTTCGGCCCCTACCTAACAGGCAGTGAGTGATATACAAATGATCATTTTGCAGGTGAGATATTCTTCTAAGAACACACTTATAGTAACTTAAAAGGACTGTATATCAGCATTGTGCGGCAGTAGCTCAGTCCACAGGAACTTGGGTTGGGAACCGGAGCGCAGCTGGTGTGTGGACTGGTAGCTGGAGAGGTGCCAGCTTGCCTCCTGGGAACTGCCGCATTGACCCTGAGCAAGGCACTGAACCCCAACTGCCTGGGGTGCCTGTCCATGGGCAGCCCCCTTGGCTCTGACATCTCTCCATTTAATGCATGACCAAAATGTGACTTCTACAGTTTTTCCCCCATCAGATTGTTTTTTACTGAAGTATAAAAAGTCTCTATAACACCACTTGATTACACTAATAATATTCTGTTTTTAATTAAAGACCAACATTGGTCGACCTATTCATTAGCTGTACCTGACATTCACAACCCAAACTTATCCTAATATGTACAGCCTACAGTAACAACCACAGTGAAGCACACACCGGGGGAAAAATGTGAAATAACACACAGAAGCAGCTCAGCCCTCAACAGGGTTACATTTTAAACCTTTCCTCTACTTCACACCCACTTCCTCTCCTTTGTACTCCTTTATATATTTTTAGCAAAAGCCTATAAAATAATCTGCCCTGTAATCTTGCCTTGTGATATAAAGTGTAAAAAATTAGAGGATACCTTCCCTGTGTCCGGTACTTAATTTACCTCTGAAAGTTTTTGGTTAGATGTTGTTTTTTTCTGCAGTGGAGTGGAGGTGAATGAGGTCGAAAGAGAGGAAGCAGAAAAAGAGAAGACAGGAGTATTGAAAAAAGATTATTTTCTGGACTTAAATAAAGGTACCAGTGTCAAGGTAACTTCTTGGATTGTCTTTAAATGTTTGCATGCCGAAAAACCGCACAATCAATGTGAGTAAAAGTCCTCTCATTTGTGGTTTCTGCAAAATTAGGGTACGTTTACGCACGACACCTCCCACCAATCAGCGGCTTGGATACGACTGTTTCTCATTTGTTTTCATTTCAAAATATGATTCTATTCCAACCTCGGGGGAATAACCTCCAAAGCAGGGGAGAGAGAGAGTCTGTTTCGGTGCCATTTGTTGCTAATTTTCAGCCATGAGGTCTGAAACCACACTTCTGTTTTTGCCATGAAGCTACAAGAGGATCAGCTTCAAGTCGGCATTTATCCCACCTTTAATTTGACTCTTTTTTTCACATCCGAGACCACAGGAGCAGCTGCCAGCCGAGGTGGCACTCTGTCCCAACTACTATGTGTTACAGAATGTGTGTGTCCATGTCTGGGTAGTGTAGCAAACACCACACTCTGCTTGTGACAGGCCTAAGCTGTCAGCGTCACCTCCATTTCGACCACATCCTTAACAACTAAATAACACTACAGGATAAAAAACAAACACACTGGTAAGCTACTGCTGCACCACACGGGACAACAGAGTTGCAACAAGTAATGATGCACACTGGTGGTCCTGAATAACAGCAACTCGTAAATGTGTGAAGTTTAAGCACTTAAATCTTCACTAATTAACATTTTTAGCCATGTTAGAGGGGGAAAAGCTGCAAAAGTCAGTCTGTCGAGCCACCAGTTTTGTTTAGACTGAAATACGTCAACAACTACAGGATACATTGCCATGATGGTTTGCAGAGACATTCTTGGTGCCCAGAAGATGAATCCTAATGACTTTGGGGATCTCCTGACTTTTCATCTAGGGCCATCAGCGACAATCACATAACTCTGCAGCTCTACCAAAGATGCTCTATAAAAAAAGATGATGCACCATGGTATGAAATGGTATACACTTCCTGTCTCTTAATAAGCGTGGTCGCCTCTCCCTCGCATCCCACCACCTCATTTTTAAGTGTTGTAGACATTGTGTAGATGGATAAAAGCAGATTCAAAACAATACCACACAATATACAAATATACAGATTTAATGGCTGCTCCTTAATTGTGTCTGATATCAGTCAAAAACAAGATCCGATCAGTATGTTGCTGAGACAGAGACATGTCTTGAACAAAGTGATTTGTCTGTCTGAAGAAAGTCAGTGTCAGAATTTTCAGAATGGTTTCAGCTTGTGAAACATGGGTCCAATATTTACTTTGGTGACTATGGGGCAAAAGAATTGGTCATAATCTGTTCTGACGTTCATTTCTCCCATTGTAGTGAGGAGACTTAGGACCTGCCGCTGGTCTCCTACAGGAGCGGGGGAGTGGTGAGACCCATGTGACACAGATACAGGAAATGACTCTAAAATGAACTGTCTTGTTTGTCAGTGAATTTTTTAGCCTGTTGTTTTGGTTTTACAGCTACAAAAATAACTAATAATTATTCTGTCTCACTCTAATAAGTTTCATTTCCAGCAGCAGTTGTTAAAATAAAGCTCTAATAAGCTCACTGTACACTAAACAAAGTTAGCAAATGGTGAATGCAGTGGAGCAGTTAGCAGCTAAGACCCAGATGATTTTTCTGAGGAGGTGGTGGAGACCAAAACAGAGCTATAACACAGTGAATACTGGACTAATAGTCATTAGCTATGTAAAAACATGTCTCCAAATGAATGCTAATGCTGACTGGATGGATGCAGACAATTGTTTGCAAACTTACTTTATTGGACCATGGTTTACTATTTGTACTTTACAACACAAACAAAAGCTACTCAAATATCTCAGGGACTTAAAAATTGCTAACTTGTATTTATATTTTTCTATTATTGCACTACTATGTTTGTCATTGCACTTGTACTTTGTCTTGTATCTTGTTTTGTATCTGTTTTGTACTACACAAGATGAATGACAATAAAGTCTCTCCTATCTCTTAGCTCATTCCTACGTTAGCCATAATCACTTAAAATGTCTGTCAGCCTGTTGTGGAGTTTGTCTCCCCCCAAGTGGCCAAGAAAATCATTTATCTAGCTTTAAACACCATGAAATCAGCAAACACAGCTTGTTCGACTCGGCTGATCTGTGGTGCTTCATAGAAAAAGCCAACACCTAATGCACTCCCTGCTCAGTCTACCAACCATTCATCTATAAAAAGAGTGCTGTTTTAACAAGCTCTCAGTATCCACAGCTGAGCAACTGCCTCCCTCTGAGGCCCCGCTCACACCAGAGAGTCTACAAACTCTTCACCCTTCGCTGGTTTGTTGAACCCACAACCAGACCCCAGATGGGTGGAAGCACAGACAGACATTGTTGTAAACTGCCAGAGTGTAGATGGCCAAACATCCCCGAGGATCCTTGTTTTCTTCATTTTGTCTGCAATGTTCCTGAAAAACACTCATTTATGTGATGTTTTGAATTCTTTACATAATTAACTTGTTAATCAAACAATGTCCCAGTACCAGATTTTTTTTTATTTTTTTTTTTTTTTTGTGGGTGACACCTTTTTTGGGGGTTGTTCAGCCATGGTGGCTATTTCCACCCAAGTTAATTTTCCATGTTTTCTTCTGTTTACTTCAAACAAATCAGAGGCCTGTTACAACAAATTATAACATGCAAGCTATGATTTGTAGCAAAAAACTATTTCCTCTCGCTTATTTTTTCAAAACTATAATTTCACTGATCATAATAAATACAAGCTGCAGTCATTAGTGAAAAATGTTGTTTTCACCATCTGAGATCTGTGTGTAAGTAGTGCTTGCAAAGTGTTGGAACAGGCTGCTGATAACTAAGAATTGTTTGCTTAAAAGATTATTTTTTCTCCAAAAAAAAAAAAAAAGAGCTAACAAACACTTCTTGCACTTCTTCACAGTCTTTAAGGTTAATCTGTTCTTGTGTTCTTGTTTTTACTATTTTCACAAATATAACTAAGTACTCAAGTACTGTGCTTGAGTACAATTTTGAGATACTTGTACTTTACTTGAGTATTTCCATTTTATGTAATGTTTTATTTCTACTTCATTTCAATTTTTCAGATTGCTCTCACGCACTGATCCTATATATAACTTTGAAAAGTATTGCACCACAATTCATATAAAGTAAAAGAGTAAAGAAGCAAGTAGTATAGAGATCAAAACTCTGCATAACATAGCAGGTTGGGGTGGTGGAGGGGTCAAACACAACACAGGACTTTAATACACACATAGTAAGGGCAGAAAAATGAAAGCAACAAAAGGCACATCTATCTACATACAAATACACCAAACTAGAGTCTGGTGCAGAGTGTTGAGCCATAACAATAAAGCGTCTTCACACAGATCAGCCTGCTCCAAGGTTTTGAGAGCTACTGGCCAACAAAGAGACTGTGGGACTCCAACACTGGACAGATCAGCCAAATTCAACTCTGATCTGCAACAGCTGTTGCCTAAACACACACATACTATATATACGCACATACACAATGACATGAAAAAACACTACAGTGCCTTATCATATTTGTCATGGCTATGTTTTCCCCAGCAGCACTGTGTCTGTGTCTGAATGTGATTTTGTTATCGTTGGCACTGTCCAGTTGTTGAGTGGAAACATCAGCACCCCGGGGGTTTATGCAGATATAGACTGGTGTGGATAAAAGGATAAATGAGTGGATGAGTGGATGGAAGGAACAGCAGGGAGAGAGACATAAATTGTAGCGCTACAGGTCATCAAATTATTGTGTGCACAAAATCTTTTTTAATCAAAAGTTGGCATTTTATTCTCATGTCAACTTGGAAAATCTGAACGCTCAAGTCAAAAATATATATATTTATAATGTGCAATGGAAAAGTACTGAGAATACAGAATGCCGAAGAATTTCCCCACGCTCTCTTGCTACGTATAATTGTATATTCAGCTGTTTTGAAACTATTAATGGCTCATTATGGATTTTTGCATCATATAGAAGAATTATTTTCCTACTTAATCTCTCAAAGAGGCATTGGGCTCTCTGCAAAAGCATATATGATTCCTTAAAATATGTTCGGAAAATAATCACCAGCTCTTCTTTGAATTCCTTCCTCCACTGACTGTGAATTATCCACGATGTGATTCTAACAATTCTGTTTATTAAATCATACATGAAAACTGTCTACATGGATACTTTTAATGCTAGTATACTGTAGTCTTTGTCCACAGCAGTGTTGAAATGTTTGTCTGTTTATACAATTAAAGGCTGCAGTTTAGTCAATTTTTTCTCATTAGACGTCATTTTGAAGTATTTATGATGCTCATAAAATTGTATTTATTGTTTTACAGCTTTTTATTTTTTTAATTATTACATATGGTAAAATATTTTCACACATGGACTCATTTAAGACAGCTGATTTGATTGGCATTGACAGCTGTTTCTTTTGAATAAATAAACAAAGATATGGCTAATTAAGCAATAATGGCTTCCATAAAACGAAAACAAGTGCCACCCGTTAGTGATGGACAATGTTGGACAGATTTTGTGCTGAAAAAATCCTGCTAAGAAGATTTTTTACAATGGCAAAAAAACAAATCAACATCTCTTGCAGCTGTCTGAAAAGATTTGAGCTGTGAATGTGTTGACAAGACTCAGATGTGAGTTGTGCAAGACTGCCGAATAACAGGCTCTATTTGATTGATTTGTGAGTGACGAAATGTTCAGTAAGTGAGTAAGTGACTCACTTTAATGTGACTACTACTGTTGCCCAATATTGTCCACAACATTTTGATTATCATATTATTCTTTCATTATAATAATTAATCTGTGCTGTATGTTCTTGTGCTTCATTATGTACTCAGGATGAACTTTCCTGAAAAGTTATGCTGATGACCATATAAAAACAAGCTAAAGACATACCTCTAGGACCAGGGGGTCCAATGTCTCCTTTTTGTCCCTGTAAACCGTCGAGCCCGACAGACCCTTTAACTCCTCGACTGCCCTGGTTCCCTTTTTCTCCTGTAAACCCTGAAACACAAACACACAACCTTCATTTCAACATGTGATGTATAAAAGGCTTAGAAAAGCACATCCAGACGATAAGGTGCTGGACAAGAAATCATACAAGAGATGAAAAAATAGAGTCTGCACTCTAGACTATGTTTCATCGGTATTTTTCATTCATTTAAACCTTTATTTAAGACTCGGGAAATCAATTGAGGGAGACCCTCATTTTCAATGATGCTGAGCATGAACAAAGACATTAAGGACAATCAATAAGCAAACAAAGAACCATCATGCATATCAATTAAAACAGAGATGAAATCCTACAAAACAACAAACAACAATAGCAATAAATGATCACTAAAAGTAGAAATACAGGGTGATAAATATGCTAAGGTGTAGCTGTATAGTTAAAAGCATTTACACTCAATTAAACAAAATCAGAAATAAGGTATTTAAACGGACGTAAAGGTGGCAGAGTGTCCAAGTTTATGGTCTTTTGCAGATTATTCCATGTACCCAGGGGACCGGTGTTCCAAACCAACAAAGATCAAAGTCATTTGCATTTGTGCTACTCAGTCGGATGGTCTTTTCTTAACAAAAACCAAAAAGTTTTGTTGCCTAATGCCAAAGGATGTCCCCGCGTCATTTTAGTAACACATGAGGCTTCTGCCCAAGTGGCAAAATGTATGGGATGAGAAGGGGATGAGATCATGTTGCTTCAGCTGAACTCTTTAAACTGAACTCTGCCATCTCACTTTCACTCACTCTTTATAAACACAAGGAGGGCCAATAGTTTCTGATTTTGATTTCTAATTTCTGATTCTCTTTCAAAGGGAGGGACCCGCATGCACTAACATGCTTGTGACTGGACCAGCTACCAAAACATCGAACAGAGAAACTCGGATTACAAAACATGTAGAGGGAGTGGGACTTTATTCACTGCTCAGGACGCCTTTACTCCGCTATATCCTTACATAGCAAATAGTTGTTTGCTGCCATATAAATGCTGAAAACATTGCATATATAGAACCTTAAAGGGTTCTCTCTGATCAATAATGTTCAGTGCAGACATTGTCAGAATTAGACTTTAAGAGGTTTAAGAGGTTAAAGATAAAATCAATGTATTTTCAAATCCAGCTTTGTTTCCTGGCAGTGGTAGAATAACAGCTGGGGTTGGTTCTGATTGGTTTCACTAAATAAACAATTTTCTAAACTCCTTCTAACCAACATTTGAAGTGGAAACATTCAATCAAATCCAGTCCATGAATTATGGGAGATGCCATGGTGCCAATCAGAAATCAATATAAGACTCTGTCTTAACATTCATTAATAACTGATGCAGGTGAACTTTTAATAGCAAGTCACTACAAGCCCAGACCATAGCAACCTCTAAATAAAACAACAAACAAAAAGTAAATAATGTAGAAAAATCGTTATCGTATGAGGACTTGACCTCTCCTCGCCTGCCCTGGTATCACTTATAGGAGATACAAAGATGTTGGAAGTGATGTTACTGTTGATCTTTCATCTTCCACCATCTGCCAACACTTCAAATCTCTGAATGCTTGCTGACGCTGGAAGAATAGTACTATACTTTGTTTTGTTCCATAGAACAATCCAGTTCAGATTTCCAACTCTGTGGCAAACAATAAGAGCTTCTGTTTACAGTAAGCACTCTCAAATGTCTCAAAATTAATGTAGTAATGAGTTATTGATTGCACCGTTGAAAAGTGAAGCACAATCTTTGTCAAATGTCGCTGTACTCCGACATGCTCTGATTACACTGTTGTGACTACTCAGTGATCTGAGTGAAATAATTACACTGAATGCATTAAAGACAGAGGCACAAAATAAACTGATGATGGATGATGTCATGTTTTCTGTGGTTTTCGGTGTCTCTGCTGTAAAGGGTCAATATCTCCTTCAAAAAAATCCACTGAGAAAATACGATCAGTCCTATTCTGGAGGCAGTGCAGAAGTGTTCTTTGCATTCTGCAGGACGGCCCAACGAGATCGTTCCAAGTCCAAAAGGACTTTTAAAAACTGACTAGTTAGTGTTGTACGTTTCAATATGATGCATTATTTTCTGTTTAATTGATCCACAAGTAACTGTATAAAATCATTAAGAGGTCCTCACAGGTCCACTCAGTTCCTTATACCAGAGACCCCCCTGGGCTGCACCCATGTTGTACGAAGTCTAATCAGGTCCAGCCACGTTTGTGGCAACAAAACCAAGTATTAAAAGCCAAAACATGATCTTATCCTAACCCTGACACTAAGTGGGTTTTGTGCCTAAACCTAACCACACGTTAGACACAACATTGTCAACATAAAATTGAGAACTGAAACAAAAGAAATGTAAAATTTCAACATATCCATTATGTATGAAACACAGAAATTCAACATGTGAAGCGATACGAAAAGTGCAAATTTTACATATGAAACGTAAATTTTTTTATATATGAAACATGCAAATTTAACATATGAAAGGTCCAAATTCAGCAGAAGAAACATGCACATTTATCTTATGAAACGTACAAATGTCATATATGAAAAGTGCAAATTTAACATCTGGGAAGTGCACATTATGTATGTAGTATTGTATGTTGTATGTAGTATTTTTGTTTGTTTTTTATTCTGTGAAGCACTTTGTGCTGCATTTTTAATGTATGAAAAGTGCTATACAAATAAAGTTTGATTGATTGACTGATTGATTGATTAAACATATGAAAAGTGCAAAATGAATATACTAGTGGTTTGGGAAAAAATGCACAATGTCAAAATTTAGTCTGGCATTTATCTTGAGCCCATAATCACTGAACCCTACAGGACACTGATTACCACCACCTTTGAGACTTTTGATCAAAAGTCCCCATCCCTAAGAGGTGACTGCTTTCACTAGAGACAATGGCTTAATGGATGTTGGGGGGAGTTTTGTTTCGGTCCTGGGGGGGTTTCCATTCAGTCTGCTATGTTTTCATGCTTATTAAAAAAAACTTTTCTCCTCCTTCCCTACAGTTAGAAATTCTCCTATATTCACTTTTTCCTGGAACTATAGCAGTGGTGGGGGGGTTTCCTTTCAGCAGGAAGATAATGCTTCTTGGAAATGTCATGTGAGAGCTGCAATTCATCGGCCAGGGTATGTGGGATGGATGATGACAAGGGGGGTGGGATAGGGGGTGATGATTCAAGAGGTACCAAGCTGGAAAGTATCCCAAAAACATCTGGATTCATACTGTTGTTGTTTGTATCTTACAGTATCTTTGAAAAATAGTAATTTCATGGTACTGAGGTGCCAATTTGGTTTGGATGAGGCTTCAAGTTGTGGTTTTTGGTGGAATTACCTACAAGACAAAGATAGATGTCCCATCCCGCTGGTCCCATCCACACCCTGTCTGAAAATAAATCCCCATCCAAAGTCTGGGGTTTTGTTTTCTTATGCGGATTTATATGACCGTTTATACTCTCTGTGCTCACTACATTATTAATGCAACCAAATGTAATCAAAACAGCAGAGGTAATAACACCAGCCAAACTTTTGCTGTAGAATTTTGCATACCAGGTAGCTACATTTTTTACCTTTCATGCCACTCAAACCTAAATCCTCTTGTGTAAAAAGGGCTGTAAGTCAAAATGTGGTGTTTACGTTGGACATTTATAGGGCAAGTATATTTTATGACCCATGGGCTTGTAAAACCATCCAAAAACCACACCAGTCCAAAAACACAAGGGAATAAATCACAAGATCAGACATTATTTGACACTGTGCTTGTGGGTCTCTGACTTCACATTCATTAAATGTGGCATAGTTTCAAAACATAGAATTTCCTGATCTTTTCTTTCTTACATGTATTGTAAAGATTTAAGCCAGATAGTCCCAAAGCCATAGTATCACAGCATTTCTCACAGGTTGGGGATTTGTTTGTTGGCATACTAAAGAAGTTTGAAAGAATGGCATTTCAATTTATTTAAGTATCGAGGCAGAGACAGGAAATGAGGGAGGAGAAAAGGAGGTCGTGACATGTAACAAAGGTCCACACTGTTGTTTTGTGGCATGTGCCTTAATCATTCGGTCCACCAGGATGCCTGCCTCCATCTTCATATTTAAAACACGCAGTGGCCCTCTCTGTTGACTCTACGCCTTTTTGCTGTGGCCATGTCTGCTACCTTGTAGGAATTGTCTGCTGTTGGGTAAGTGTTCATTTGCTTGTTTATGTTTTTATAAAAATACATTGACTCCGCCTACGTAGTACACATACTTGGTGCATGTCTACAAACTGTATGATAGTCTTACCATCATAAGGTGAATGGAAAAAAATGCAAAGTGAACTTGCTTGATTAATCAATATTGTATGGCAGACCACATATAGTATATTTTGGCAGCTTAAAATTGGCCCATGGGCCAGATTTTGGACGTGCCTCGACATCAGAATGGTATCAAACTTCTCATCTGAGTATCTGTGAGAAAGCAAGTGTTTCCCAAAATTTCAAACTATGGCTTTAATAGGTCTTCAGACATTTTTATGCAATCCAAACACTGATGAATGGTAGTTTGGTTGTACCTAGACTCACAAGTCAGTCTTTAGACGCTTTGCTTAACTAAAGACTGATGACTTTCTCCCTGATTTTGTGTTTAGATGGGCGGATACAATTTCAGAATTTAAAAAAACTCCCTACGTTGCAGAACCAATAGTAAATCTGCAAGGCAGTCCTTCGGTGGCTAGCTGAACTCTTGTGCTTGTAAACAGAGTCCCACTAGAAACACGTATAGCGGTACAAAATGGCTCAGCCATACTCGCAGAAAACGCCATCAAAGTTAGTGGATGTTTGTCGTGTTTGCGGCAACACATTCTCGCCAACTAAAAGAAACAAACAATCTTTTACAAGGCCATGATTCATCCGTCCGGCGGGACTATAGACTATAGAGGGAATCACCTTGTTGGAGGCGATTCCCTCTATAGTCTATAGTCCGGGTAGAAAACCAGCAGAGCTATATCTATAACCTATAACTAACTAAGATATCCGCTGGAAAAAAAAAAATTTTCTTTACGGATGAGCACACGTTTGATAAAACGGAGTTAAATCCCTCGGCATCCATTTTCAAGCTCTCTGTGTGTTTGTTTCCTTGAGGACGAGAAAAGGGGGAGTGCACATTTCCGAGTAGGCGTGTCCTTTTCAAAAATGCAAGAGGCGTTGCTTTGTTGCCGGCCGTTTTCGCCGGTGTGTTAAACACACTTTAGAAAGGAGTGTCCCCAGACTATCAGAAGGCGGAGATCTCTGATTGTCTGGTGGCGAGACTAGGTTGTACCCACCTCTCAAGCCTGTCAACCCAGGAGCTCCGGGGGGCCCCAGTGGTCCAGTATCACCCTTCTCTCCCTTTGGCCCTGGAGGACCTGCAGACAGAAACACAAACATGGTCTCAATTGATGGCATAATGTGTTGGGTGACACTGTGCAAACAATGCAAATATTAATGCAAAATTTGTTATTGATAGTAGCCAGTCTTAAGTCCTTTACCACCTACACTAGCATGTATTTACATGGGATGATTGAATGTGCTTAAGTGGAGATGTAGAGGCAAAACTTTGGTCTCAGTCAGCTTGGACTGCTCATGGTTTGTGCTACATTTTTCATTTCTATGAGATTTGTTGAATGTGAAAACGTGAATTAGTTTTTTTGGTTTTTTTTGTGTAGAGATATTTTTTGGGCAATTTGCCTTTAATGGACAGGACACGTAAGAGTAAAAGGGGGAGAGAGAGACGGGGGTGACATGCAGCAAAGGGCCACGGGCTGGATTCGAAACCGGGCCGCTGCGGCAACAGCCTTTTATATGGGGCGCCTGCTCTATCCACTAAGACACCGATGCCCCGAAAACGTGAATTAGTTGAAGAAAAGCTCAGTAATCTTCTACTTTTCAGTACCAGAAAAAAGATACTTTGTGATCCAGCAAATAAACTTCAAAACCGTTTGTTTAGTATGACTGTGTCGGTGAAGATTTTCAGTCATCAAGGTTATGGTAATCATAAGTGCTATATCGTAGGCAACTGGACTTGCTTGAGTTTCTGGAAGACGTTTCACTTCTCATCCAAGAGTCCTCTTCAGTTCTGAGAGGTAATAACTGAACAGAGGAAGCCTCTTGAATGAGAGGCGAAACGTCTTCAAGAAAGTCAAGCAAGTCCAGTTACCTACGAAATAGCACTCATAATTAGTATGACTGTGGTACACCTTGACACTAGCACATAAATCCAGCTTGTACTAACTGCAGCAAGTAATTCCTGACACCTGAAAAGTGTTCAAGAATTGAGTCAAAGTCCAGTTGCAGGTTTTAACAAAAAAGTGGTATTTCTACAGTGGCTGCCTATACAAGTTTTTAATCAATTTACTAAAGAAATAACTCAAAACATGTCCATGAAAATAACCCATCTCCTGTAGAGAAAAGGAAGCTACATTAGTGGTTTGTCAGGAATTTCTCAAAAAAAAAAAAAAGAAAAAAAAAAAAGGTAGAAATATAAGAGACCCTCGGTCCACACTGAGTGCGTTTATTATTACAGCATGTTGGACCGCTTATCATCAAAGGTGTTGCCAAAATCAAGGGAGGCAGGAATTGTCTAGATTATCACTTGAAAGGGGGACGCATGGGACCAAAACTTGTTTCAGAGAGCAACATGTGAGCCTTTAATTTCTATAGATAATGATTTTATTAGCGTCATGAAACCAGTCATTTTTGTCATGCATTATAGTTCAAACACACACACACACACACACACACACTCACACACTCACACACACACACACACACACACACACACACACATACAGAGTGACATGGAAGCCAAAATGTAGGCCAAACTGGGTCTTACAACTGGTCCAAGGATTCAGTCCAAAAAGTTTGTTGTACTTGGAAAGAGTGAGTGAAAAAAAAAGCCAAATAGTGAGTAAGAGAGGGCAAGAGAGAGAAGGAGAGGGAGAGAGACCTGGTCACAATGGGAACCACATGTTCAACAAGGTGGACCACAACACAGCTTGTGGGAATGCTTAGAAATTCAGGGCTTGTTATTGTCCAGCACATGTCCAGTGATTCTGATCCCTCAGAGACTCTAATTTTCCTAATTTGCAAATCTGATGCTGGAAGAGCTGCTGATCGACTTTGAGATACAGATCTGCCTGCTGCTGCCTCGAGCTGCTTCACAACTCTGGACCCACTTAATTGGCGACCACAGGTCATGACACTGTGAAAAGGTCACACTGAGAGGGCAGGCTGTGTGTTTACTACCCTATGAAACTGTATATGTGTGTTGTTGTGTTTCTATCCTTCTGAGCACTGGGACTACAAGCTGAGAAAAATTGTCCCAAAGTGAGGTTAGAACTAGGGTTAAGTCTGGAGCTGTATTGACAAGTTGATCAATAGAAAAGCAATTGGTAACTATTCTTTTTAGTCAGGACCACTTTAGTCAAAGAATTTCCATTTGCAGTATTATATTTGAAGGTATGGCTCTGTTCTGGGGCCTCTCTGCCTTTCCTAATCCTACACAGAAAGCCTCTTCCATGCGCCTACGTGGAAAGCCTAAGACCGAGACAACACACCTCCCCTACCTGCCCTTCCACGTGCATACAAGGAAAGCCTAAGACACAGAGAACAAACGTCCCTGCCCTTCTATGCCCTTCCTGCATGTAAAGCTTAAGTTAGGGAAAGCAGCAGCAAAGACCCCCCCCCCCAGGAACAGAACAGAGCAGCATCAATGACAAACAGAAATGACATTGATAAGTCAGACACAGCATGAAAAGGAGGAGCTGGGGTGGAGGCGGGCTGCAAAGCAGCTTGCAGAGGAAGCAGCAACAGTAGGCAGGCCAGAGCAGTTTAAATAGAGCGCCTTGAATGAGATTCACCAATTTGTTGCAGAGTGAGGAATCATGTGATCAATCAGCTGCTCCATCAGTGGATTAAGCTACTTGAGATCAGCTGATGTAGCTGGGATGTGAGCTGAGCTTGACATTGTGTCCCGCCTGAACTAACGCTATGCTCAATTTTTTTAATAGGAAAAAAAAAAAAAAAAAGGAAACAGTATAGGCTGGACGAAACTTAATGAAATCTTCAGGGCTTTTAGAACTTGTGATGGGCATCTTTCACTTTCCTCTGACATTTTACAGCCCAAATGATAATGAACTGTCAGGATGATAATTGGCAGATGTACAACGTTGAGCTCTGCTGAGAACATCCTCCTTTTGAAGGCCTTTGTTGCTGAGTTGACTTAATGACCTTATCTGACCTGAGTTAACCTTTGGTTCACAGTTTTTGGTCAGTTCTGAGAAGACATTGTAAGAATTTGGGTCTCTGCATACTTTTGACTAGACCCCCTAGACCCATGAATGGTCAGCAGTAAACAATATAACATGAACAACAGATGTTACAGTTTAGGTCAGCTGCGTCAGACAAAACGTAACAAATTACTGAGCAGAGAAAAAGCTTCATCATGTTAGTGTTTGCACCCGTTTAGAAAGTTGCATTTTGGCCAGGAGTCAGCTTATCTGGCTATTAAGGTTTTATTTTTACTGGGTTTAGTCAATGCCAGTAAATTTTTAACATAGGCCAAAATATATATTTACAATGTCTCATGAGGGCAACATGAATATTTGTTTCAAATGTTGTCCAATCCATCTAATAGACATTTCATTGGATAAGTGAAACCTCTGACCTGGTGGGAGACCTAGATGAAGATTCATGGGTTTACAAAAGTCAGTAAGGTTCATCCTCCAGGTACTGTGGACTTCTGTTCAAAATTTCATGGCAATCAGTCTAATTGTTGTTGAGAACTGGTCAGGTCAGATAAGGTCGAGATAAATTTTGAGGCGAAAGAAGTCTGGTTCCACTTCCCACTGATTGACATGGTATAGTATCTTCATTTCTCTTTGTCCATACATTTCATGTCTTATGCTGTCAGGTATCTGGACACAGAAAGCATCTGTGGTCACAGGAATCAGTCGATCAAAACTTAAGACTGAAATAAAACCCCAACATTTCTCTTGGACTGCCGAGCTGAACTCACTGCCGATCTCTCAACCTCTTTTAACACATTCACTCAAACCTAAGTTAACTGACATCACAGGATATTTAATACCAAAAGTTTACATCTCACTGCCAATTATTTTAAGCTTTCAACATATTAGATTGTCTGCTTTTTAAAGTTATATATGTTTGTCTACATGCCTACGCTTTGCTAAAGGCAGCTCACCCTGGTGGTCCTGAAAAAATTGTGTTCTTGTTAATAGTTTATTTTAGCAAAGCTTCACATTATTAATCTCCTGGCTGTTAGACTCCCATGTGTTCATTCAACTGACAGTGTTTCAACAATAACAAGCCCAGTGGCCCCTTCAGGATCAGCCTGAAAATATCTGACTGCACTGAGTCCAAGAATACAGCACTAGTGTCGAGTTCAGGCGCCTCCATCCAACATCCAGTCTGTTACAAATCTACTGCAGGGTGGAGCAATAGGGCAGTGAGCTTGTCTTTTTTATTTTTTTGGAGACAGATGGCCTCAGCAGAGATCACAACACACTGTGATGGGACAACATGTATGTTTAATGTAAGAGGAGATAAGGACAGGGTTGTGAAATCCATCACGTTGACATATGACACAAGGGATTATCGGGGTTTATGTTATTTGAGGATACAGTCATTTTAACAAAGAACAGATGGACAAAACTGTGGTCAGAAGGAGGCTAAAATGTTCACTGTCCCTGATCTAAGAGGACAGGGTTGTGTTAAAAAGTGATGGGTTCTGATTTAAAGCAGAAGCCTTCTACAAATTGCTTTGGCTTCACAGATACTGTCAACCAGAGACAGTTTACTGTATTACCCCATTGATAAGATAGTATTTATTCACCTATTAACCCATAGAGACATTTTTAGGTTTTGAGATTTTCTAAGGACAGTAAGATGCCATATCATGGATTAAAACTTTTCTCGTTTTCTGAAAAAACAAAACAAAAACAAAAACAAAAACAAAACAAAGTATTACTAAAAACTGTTAGGTAAAAGAACCTCCCAGACTTCAACAAAAGATGGACATAGTGGACATGCATATATTATGGATGGACAATTTAAGTAACTTCCATATTTGAGTGCTCACATTAAATTATTATAAAGTACTTAAGTAATAATGTAAGAATAGTAGTGGAAATTGGCCAACGACGGTAAACTCTTGGAATTTGAAATACATTTGTTGAACCACCAGTCTTAACCACCACCAGTTAATATAAGACAAATCTGCAAACTTTCTGATGCTGCCATTACATTAGTTAGATGCAGCACTGATATCTGAAGCTGCTCGTCTCCTGGTCAGTTCAACACTGCCCTCTTAGCATGAGCTAACACAGCTGCAGCAGCTAACATCCGA